CTCCACCAACTTGCATGAGACAATCTGTTTTCCTGTTCCCAGTCTGCCAAAAGCATGAAAGTAAAAGAGTACAAAAAGGCTGGGTGTTTTTGTTTTGTTTTGTTTTGTTTTTGGTATGGGGCTACAGTGTTATACTCAGAAGCAGATCAGGTACTAGCCCATCCTTGACCATTGGGATAGTTTGAGCCAATCTGCCTCAGTCTAACCTGGGGAAAAAATCTAAGAGGGAACACCATAAATGCTGCCTTAAATTCCAGAATGAGAAGGTGGGTCATACATAGAGTACATTGATAAGTTAAAGAACTTAATAAGAGCCACTTTGGTGCAACAGTTAAAATGCCAGTTTAAAAACCAAGAGAACATGAGTTCTAGTCCTGTTTTAGACACAAAGCCAGCTGGGCCAGTTATTGTCTCTGACCTAGAAAGGAGGCATTGGAAAGCCATTTCTCAAATCTTGCCAAGACAACTGCAGGGACTTATACAGGTAATTGCCAAGAATCAATACTGACCGGAAGGCACACAGATAGAGGCACAAAGAACTTAACTAAATATGTAGGTGATTTAATGGAGAAATTAGGGCAAAGCATAAAGTAAAATCAGATAAGATTGGTAAAAATTTCATGTTCTTTTATTAGGTTTGTTCTTAAATATAGGAGGAGAGCCAATGTTAGTCAATGGTACTGAAAAATCAGAATCAGTCTGGTATCATCGTTTCAAACTAATACATTTTATTAAAAGGCATATGTTTTAATGAGCTAAACTCATTTCATCATGGAACCACTCCATTAATCAAAGAAAGTACAATACAGCTCACAAGTGCTTATGCCTTTAAATAAAATGTGTTAGTCTGAAAAGATGCTATCAACCTGTTTCTGATTCCTAAATTCAGTTAGCTTATTCTTTGCTTATTCCTCATTACAGAAGTGCAATGAAATGAAAAACACCTTGTTAAACTAAAAATAAAAAAGGACCATCTCTCTCCTTCACTCAATTATCAGTCCAGCTTTGCTAGAGATCAGCAATTCTCTTCTGGAGTTTATCATTTACATGTCATTGTATCCCAGCCTCACCCCTATACTGTAGTTTATTAAGCTAATAGCATTTCCTGAAAATTTCCACTTCAGTGAATGCTCAGTGAGCCTTTAGTAACTGCATGACCGGCAAAAGTGATAAAGCTTTATGCCAGTTGGTTAAAAGACGAATAACTCTACAGGAAAAAAAAATAGAACATTTTTCCTCTTCCTTTAGCATGGTCCATCTCAATTCAACAGTTTCTCAAGAACTCTCTGAAAAGGCTAAGGATTAAGATATAAAAACATCAAGACTTGTAACAAGGTTATTGCTTTTTGTGAGTAGTGAAATTGCAACTATTCTAAAATATCTGAGGTAGCATTTTATATACAAGAAATAATCCTCAGGTTCCTCAATAGCTGGACTCTGCAGCATTTGTACAGTTGCATGATTTTGCCTTGGCTTCCTTCAACTGGCTTGTCTGCTTGTCTGCTATCTCAGCACAACAGCACAACCTAAACATGAATCTATACCTACACAAATAATACATTAACTTTTTAAAATAGGTATTTCTATAATGGGAGAAAATAGTGGATTATATAAATAGGATTGTGTGACAAAAGCTACCATTTTCAGAGGATAATATTCTTTTGAACTATATACCTGGTACATAGAATCTGACAATGTAAATGGATTCTCTAGCTAAAGGGCTGATATTGCAGCATTGGGAAGATAAATGTATGGCTCAATTTACTGAATGGATTGAAGACTGACTGTACTTGCCACTTATAAGCAAATTGTCTATAAACATAGATTTTGTGTGGATAAATATAAGCAAATATGGGACATATAGAAAACAGTAGATTAAAAAGATATATATATAAATGTATTATAAATATATATATATATACTTGAATAATATTTGGATTAGATAAATATATAGAGAGAATTGTAATTGTTTATTGTTCTAATGTATCAGGGTTTTTTCTTAGTTATATTTCTTTCACTTTTAGTTATAGCACTTTTATGTGTTCTCTTTTTTCTTTGACAATGTTTATATCACATCACTATTACCTTTGTGTTTTGCTCTTTTCTTTTTCTACTTTTTGTTATTAAGTAAAAAGCAATAAAAATACATTTTAAAAGCTGAAGATTACCAGGATGCTATACACAGATACAGAGACACAGACATCAAGGCAGAAATAATCTGAGAAACAATGACAACATGCAGCCATATGATTGTGTAGTTCTTTTCCAAATGAACCCATTACAGATTTTCTGTTGCTTCTGCTGGCAGGGTTTTCATGGTTCTATTACTTCTGAGGTCACTGTTTTGCGTACACTAATACTATTATTTCTACTCCATGGAATATTTCGATCAAATTGGCATGAAATCTATTACTTTCCCTTTTTAGCCTAAGTGGTTAAATAACAGGAATAACTGAAGTGTAGGTTGTGAGATGGAAGGAAGAATTCTTGATTCTCCTTGCAGTCTCTCTCTCCTTGCACCTTGATATATCATTTAAGATATTTCTGAAGAGGTTCTACAGGTCTTTTGAAAATCAATAAAACCGTTTTTTTCAGAATAGTCAATTGACAGTCAATGGGCTAAAGGATGTGTCCAGGATGAAATAGGACAGGATGGATGGAGTTCTTTCAATGCATTATATGACATCCCTCCTATTTTGACATGAACACCACTTCTAACGCACTGACCTGTCTCTTGGACTATTTCTGAACATGCATTTACTGATTTTTCTGATCAGGAAACCTTGTTCAGAAATAGCACAATAGACAGGTTAATAGTCTCTACTCATATCGCAGGCAAGTTGAAAAGTGGCTAAATCCTCTGTTCCAGGCATCAGTCCATCCTTGCCCACACCTACTACACCACATACTAAGGACAGCAACTGCTAATGTTTTCTCCCACCAATAAGTAATGCTCAGTGAAAGGGGAAATAAAGTCCAAGAAATCCACCAGTCACTACCTTTAAATTGTCCTACAATGATTTGGGAAGAAAAGGAGCATTTATGAACCTCAGTGCAGAGTCAGAATAGAACTGGTCCCAATACTTGGTGGAGGTTGTGCCGTTGAAATCTGTAAAGGAACAGACTGAGGAAGCTGCCTTAGTTTAAAATCAGGAGAACTTAAAATCTATAAAGAGCAGCATCAGAGTCTCACAGAAATTAGGTTAGATTAAAAGGCCTAGGGAAATAAAAGGCTCTTTGTCTGGTAAAGAAATAGTATTAAAATAGATGTGGGAATGGCTGGAAGGAGATGTCTGTGATTAGGCACAAGACAACCTTTCCTAGGGATATTTCTTCATGGACAGAATGTTAACTGTTGGGAGTGTCTATGGAGATTCTCAGTCATTCAGCTCATGGTTGTCCCAAAGATAATTGGACTTTCTGTATTTTTTCTCTTGAAGACATTTTGCTTCTCATCCAAGAAGCATCTTCAGTTCAGAACTTTGTTTATTGTTGGATTAATGAAACTGTCTCGGAGCAGAACCATTATCACAAACAAAAATAGTTCTCAGATAAAAATGGGGAGACTGAGACATATTGTGTATATACAGAGACAATCTCCCACCAAGGATCATTGCTTGAGCCCTTGATCCATAAAAATCAAGCAGATCTAAAAGACACAGGATCAGGGTTTGGGGCATCATTTTGAGAAATACAAATTTGCATCTATGTGCACTAGAGGCAAAAAAGCAATGATTTCACTCTACCAGAAATTAAATTTTGGGAAGTGCAAGTTAAAAGTTAAAACTCAAGAAATGACAATGGTAACAATTTATAGGATCAATTCTAAAATATCCAGTAAATTTTTTAAAAAAAGAAATATTCACACTAAATAAAGATACACTGACAATAACAATAAATGGTTTATCCGTTGCTGGAACGACTAATAATGCAGGTTGGACACTGCCTCCTTGTGGTTGGAATTAGTGCAGAAACATAAATAATTATTCTTGCTGGCAATACAGATATGAACTGTATTGTATTCAGTTTATATCCAGTCTTTAAGAAAAACTCATTAATCATTTCCTATAGGGGTGTGGGTGTGGGTGTGTGGGTGTGTGTGTGTAGTTGCAGGTTTGAAATTGGAGAGGCAGATAATCATGCAATAGTTCCCCCCAAAAAAGGCAACAGCTGATTTTCTGAACATGTTTTGTAGCCCAGATCTGATTAATTTTCTGGAAAAAAAATTGTAGCCCAGATTTGCATTTCAAAAACCCAGACAGTATTAGAAGGCAGCAAAAAAGATGCATATTCAACTTTGAAAATATTTTTTTCAGAAGTTTTCAGGGCAAGCCTTGTAGAATCTGTGGTGCTCCATCTAGTGCTCTTAAGTTTTGGAAAGAGAATGGAGAGAACAGTAATATAAGACTGTTTCTAGAGCTATATCAGGAGTAAGAATCCTGTAATCCTCTAGATATTACTATGTGTAATTCTCTCCAGTTTCAACTAATATAGATTGGTTACAATGCATGGTAGGAAAAGCAGTCCAGCAACACTGAAGGGGCACTGAATTCCCATTCATGATGGAAATTTTGTATTTAGTTTTCCCTGTACTCTATTTTATTCAGTTGAAAAACACTTCCATACAGCTGTCTAACATGCCCCAATCCCCCAATCCATGGCATTGCTTTATGGGTTTACAATATTTCTGCGATGAAACAAGAAACTCTAGCTATTCCGTTTTTAAAAAGTGAAATGGGGAGAGCAGGAGAAAATTATAGCTTTTGCCAGGGGTGCAGCTGTCGTATTAACGCTACAGAAATCCTACAGCATCTTCTTTGAGAAGAACAGGGAGGAGACTTGTAAACAAACTCTCTCATTTGATTATTCATTGTGTACAGGGATATTGGGAAAAGGGAAATAGGGAAGAGCTCTGATCGTTTCCAAATTCCTTACAGTGCACCAGCTACAGATCCTGCAACTGACAGGAAATTCTGCATTGTACTACAGGTGCAGCTGGTTGGTATACAGAAGAATTCTGTAATTTTCTCCCTTTTCTTTAACTGGAGGCAGTGAAGAGAAGTCTTTTTAATAATCCAACAACACAGAGATAAACAACTTTGCTGATGAGGACTGATTAAGAAGGCAAGGCAAGAATGGCACAACAAAATGTCATATTAATGAGAATGAGATTTCAGGACAATCAAAAAGGCCATCTGTGAAAATCCAACTACTTTACTGTGTTCTTCCTGTCCATTCTCCTCCTGACTTAAGAGCTTGTAGAGCTTTCCTAACCAGTGCTGAAGAGGGCTCTCAGGAAAATGAAACTTGACAGTGCTGAAATCCTTTGACACCTTTTCAGCTCTTCTTCAGGGAAAAAAAACCCTCAGGGGTTTTTTTTTTTTAACAGCATGGATCGATTCCAGATGGTTTTCCAGTACTTCCAGTCTAATTCAGACTCAGTGACAAATGGGATCTGTGGGCTACTAGCATTGGCAAGTGTGAAGATTTACACCATCTTTGATTTCAATTGCCCTTGCCTTTTAAAATACAACATGGCCTATGGCTTGGGAATAATGTTTATCCCACCAGTAGCACTTTTTCTTTGTGGACTAATTGTCAACAGGCAATTTGTTGCAATGCTTGAGGAGTGGAGGAGACCCGCTGGAGACAGAAGGAAGAATCCATCCATTATCAGGTGGGAGATTCCAATGATTTTTATTGCAACAATCCAATTACTTAAATAATGTGTTTATTTAAAAATACAAAGTACTTAGATAATAGAACTTACTTAGCATTTCTTTCTCTGCCATGGTTTTTCTGGCACTTTAATGTAATGTAATGTAATATATATCTGAAAAATAATATTTGGGAGAACATTATTTTATCATTCTTCTGGAAATTCTTCTCTAAAATATGTCAAATAAATAGAATGTTCTATAATATTATTTCTATTTGGGTTTTTTTTTTTTTTTTGGTTTGCTTTCTGTATGCTTTCTTGTTTATGTCTGTTACATGTTCCTACAAAGATAATTTGATCTTTATAGAAGCACTGTACAGAAAAATACATAGCAAAATAGATTTACGCGGAATAAAACTAATGGCATAAATCAATATATTCAATGGTATCTTGCATATCTTTCCTTTCTTGATGATAACCCTCTCTGATTCTATCACTTTTCTTGCAAAGGCCCCTATGTTCTCTTCAGTTTGTGATATAACAGACAAATCTCTTCCTGTCTGCCCAATGCACAGGTACATGTGTTCTTCTGTTATGCAACGGGCTATGATAGCACCCACTGTTTGGATCCTAGTCACCCTCCTTGATGGAAAATATTTTGTCTGTGCCTTCAGCAATTCCATTGATCCTGAGAAATTTCCAGATTTAGCTGCCAACATCACCACCTATGATGCCTTACAACACTTTCTTGCCAAAATCCCATGCAAACATGATGAATTGATGAGGAATAACACTTCCCGCAAGGCAGTGTCCAGATATCTCAAATGCTGTTCACAAGTAAGTAATGGGCATCTATTGACATTTGGTTGTGTGAGGAATACTCTTCCAGTCCAGCACCCAATAAACGCAGATCCTGTCATTCCTAGCCTTCCTGCCAAATGGGGATTTTTAAAAAAAACTGTATAAAATACCTTGGAATAAGTTACTTTCTCTAGTTTATAAATAAAAAATATATCTAAAATTACGTTTTCAAAAGAGTCAAACTCAATTGTCTCCATTCACTGCACCAGATTTTCTAAACATGCGGGAATTAAAACTCCCAGATTTTCCCACTGGAAACCTGGATATTCTAATAGTTGTAACCCCATTGCAAAGGTGTTTTATACTTACCCCAGTATCACCTCGCTTCTGCTCTGCACCTCCTTTTTTATTTTTTATTTTTGCCAGGATTTCTTCCTGGCAAAAAAGTGATTTCTCCTCAAGACTGATATAAACATGTTATTATGGTATGGATTCATTGGTCTTGGGAACTGGTGTGAGACTTGAAGTTGCATAAGGATATAGGGTTGGCTACTTGCTATAAATCCAAAGCTCTTGATCCGTTTGTCATTTGCTTCCAGGCTTTTGGTTGGAGTCTTCTTTTAATTCTCATCGTGATGGCTTTCCTTGCTCGTTCTCTCAAGCCCTGCTTCAATCATGCTGCCTTTTTGCAAACCCGCTACTGGAGCAATTACATTGATCTTGAACAAAAAATATTTGAAGAGACCTGTTGTGAACAAACACGGGACTTTGCACACAGGTGTATCCTCCATTTCTTTGAGAGCATGCAGACAGAAATCAAACTCAGGCGGTTTAATGCCTACACGGAAGAAAAGGGAACAAAAGTAAAGGAAAATATTCATTTGAGTGGCATCACTAGCCAGGAGCAAATAAGCAAATTTCTTCTGTCCTGGTACAACAGGAAACCTCCACTGGATTTGAGTCAAGCCTAAAGGCAAAGAGATGATATCTTTGCTTTGAGCAGTTGACAGGTGCCATCCTCAGCCAATAAAGCAGATGTTTAAAAGAAAGTTGAAATAGGCTTCTCTCACTTAGACAATTCCCATGTCACATGGCTCCCTATAGCAACAGGGGTCTACTGCCTTGATCTGCAAGACTAAGCAACTGAACTTTTCTGAACAGCAACTGGAATTATTTAAAGAACTGAGTTTTTTATCAAGTTTACCACTTTTGTTTTTACATTGGCCATAGATCATCAGACAGAACACAAAATGGTTCAGACTGGCTTACACACAATTTTTAAATCATGGTATATTGCAGTCCCAACTATTTGGGTTTATCCACCATCCTAAGCAATAATCCAATAATGGACAAAATCAAATAGCTAAGTGCAATGCAGGAAGCCAACCGTGGTGAATTATAATCGGCTAAATGTTCATCAACCAGAATTAAAAGACTCTTGAAGCAAGCAAGTGTGGTAGTAGTGATGTGATAGAGTTGCTCATAAAGGCATAGGACAGAATCTGTTTGTTTGTTTGTTTCAATTGACAGTCTTATCCAACAGACAAAAAGACAAAGCAAGCAAATTGTATTACTAAAAAAAACAACTGTAATTTTTAGTGAATAATGAAAGTATGCAATAAAAAAGAAATAAATCTTTTGAGATAAGCCATGGTGGTGCAATGATTAGAATGCAGTATTGCAGGCTAATTCTGCAGACTGCCAGGGGTTGGATACTCACCGGCTCGAGGTAGATTCACCCTTCCATCCTTCCGAGGTCAGTAAAATGAGGACCCAGATTGTTGGGGACAGTATGCTGACTCTGTATACCGCTTAGAGAGGGCTGTAGAGCACTGTGAAGCAATATATAAGTGCTACTGCTCTTGCTATACAGGAATGTCTGTGTATCAATTTTGTTTTATCTTTTATTTTAAAGAATAATTTCTCATTTAAACTAGAGTGAAAGGTAAGAGAACCATGCATATCTTTACCTGAAGTGGGCAACCTGGGACCTTATAATAACTGATAGAGAGAGGCTGCTAAATTGCAAGGTTGTTTTATGCTGTTAATAGAATATTGCTTTGTAATAACTTGCTTAGTTATCTTTAACTTGTATTTTTTGTTATTTGTTTATTATTAAAGAGCTGTATCTTTACTGAACTAATCTATTTATCTACTTCCTCTGTTTATCTGTATCACCATTGTTTTTCTGTGTCTGTTTTAGATAATAAGCCAGTTGGCATAGCAGATTGCTCATAATAGCAAAGTGTCATTTATTTACATGGTACTATTTGACTAATGCTGTTAAAAATAAAAGACTGTTTTTCCAACTTTGGAACAGAAAGGAGAAGAAATAGGATGCAATATTTCTCCCAGGAAAGACAGATCCTTCTGGCTAGAACTGATTTTGTCCATAATTAATTCAGTGTCAATGGAGGAATTATGAGGGTACAGGTCTAATTGCCAACTTATTTCCATGTTGCTTGGCAGCCAATAAATAAATAAACAAACAAACATCTAGCATTTTCTGTTGTAAAGACTGCATATTTTGTGTTACTCAAGTCTGTTGTGAGCTATTCTGCTTCACTAAAGGGCACTGTTTGAAGAAGAGTATCAAGGTATCACTGTACAGTTTACAAATTGACCTTTTTTATTTATGCACCCCAGTAAAATTCACTGGAACAGGAAAGACATGCTGGATTCTTAATATCAGTAAGTCATAAGATAGGCAAGACACTGATATCAGAAACTAGAGAAAGAAGGTTACGAGGAAAGAATGCATGTCTGAGAAGAGATAAACCTTCTCCTTGTGTATTTGTATGCATGACAACTTTAAAAATGGTATAAGCAATTGTCTCATTGCATATGATCAAAAGTCAAAAAAATTCCTATTCCAGCCTCAACATCCCCAAGTTTGTTTTTATTAAGAATTTTTATAATAATGAGATTCAATACAAACGAAACATAAAAGAACAGAATAGAGAAAAAAAGGAAAACGTATAAGGAAAAAGAAAGAAAATTAAGAAAGAGAAATATATATAAAGAAGAGGCTTCCAGTGTTCATCACAAGTATAAACAAATTTAGTAGCTCTTCACCATCTCTAAAGGTACAAACATTTATCCCTTCATTCTATATACCATCTCTTATCTATAAACAAATCCATAAAACATCACTTTCTCAGTCCTGGGGTCAACAGAAAATCCATAAAAATAATAGTCAAAAGTAGCATTTATCCTATCTATCTATCTATCTATCTATCTATCTATCTATCTATCTATCTGTTATAATTAATTCCAAAATATTATTGTAAAAATTTCAATATTCCAATTTTATCTGTATCCTTAGTCTGTTTATAACTTAGTCTGTTTATTTCAGATTCTTTAAATTCTTTAACTTATGGTTAAAATTTTCTTTCATTCAGGATTAAAGGCAGACTCAATCAACCCATTCAAAATTTTAATTCTGAAGGTCTCTAATAGCTTAGAAATAGTTAATGAGCAGTTTTCCCAAAGTGATTAGAAAGTGAGGTTTGCAAAGTTAGTGTCCTTTAAAAGTCTCCATCATGGTTGTTAAGAGCGGCACCATGGCTTAGCAGTCGGCTGGAAAACCAACAGCCCAGGTTCATTACCCAAACGTCCTGTGACAGGGTGACCTCTTGTCCTTGCCCTAGCTCCTGCCAACCTAGCAGTTCTAAAGCATGCAAATGCAAGTATATAAATAGGTACCACTTTGGTGGGAAAGTAACAGTGCTCCCTGACATCATGCTGGCCACATGACTGTGGAAATGTCTTTAGATGCCACTGGCCCATTGGCCTTGAAATGGAGATGTAAGATGATTCTCATTGATTCGCAGGTTGATGCAATGCACCTTGAACAATTGTCACTTGGCAGGCGAAGGTTTTCCATATAATTTTGCAATCATCTACTAGTACTCAGGATTTTTAGAACCTAGATATGTAGCTATATTATTCTTGACTTTAATTAGCAAGGGCAAAGGATAGAAATGTCTATATCCATCAGCTCTTGACAACTATTCAGGTTATGATTTAATGTGACATTTAACTTTATTCAGTAAGCCACAACTAAACCAATTTTGCATAATGTGCAAATTTAGCTAAAATAGGGATGCCTGTATTTACTTTTTGATCATTGTCAGAACATATTTTGCATTATTCATCTTGTTGCCAACTAGGGTACATATGCTCCCATCATTTAATACATAAATATTCAGGATTAAAACAAGTTAATCAGGCTATAAATATTTTAAAATTGCTTTAGAGGTCCTGAATCAAACATACATTTTCTCTCAGGACCAGGTTCATCATATATTCTTAGTAGGTCAGCAATGAATGAAAGCATTTTTAACTACAGCTATCCCAATCTATTCAGCAAATTAACTTACTATATATCCTGGGATTGTTCTCATTTAGTTATAAATTTAGTGAATACAAAGATTATGAACCCACTTCCACATTTACTAAGAGTTTTAATCAAATTTTCCTAAATTTCCTAAAGTAAGCTGAGGATGAATAAGCTGCATGGAGATCAGTTGTATTTGCATACTGATTTCCCTAAAAGGATATTTTTAAATTCTTATAGACATTGCAGAATAATAAAAAATGGAAAGTTGAGACTGGTTTCTGATAGTGACACTGTTATTGTTAGACTTACCAAATCGTTGTTCCTCTGAATATATTATTAATGCTTCGATAGTAGCATTCCAAGAGGCTGAAATGTGGAAAACTGCTTCAATCTTTCACTCTAAACCAGGGGTCTTCAAACTTGGCCCTTTTATGACTTGTGCACGCTGGCTGAGGAATTCTGGGAGTTGAAGTCCACAGGTCATAAAAGGGCCAAGTTTGAAGACCCCTGCTCTAAACTGAGAACAGATACTAGGAAACCTGAACTCTGGGCAAACAAACAGGAGCTGGAAGGTTTCCCTTTCTATCAAATGAACTTTTAAAGGGAAGACAACTTGTTTTGTCTCTGTTCCTCCATAATGATAGGGTGTCTAGTTTCCTAGCCTGGTTCCTATCAGGTAAAAAATGCACCCTAACCTGGAGAAGGATTGGCGTTTCAGAAGAAAATCGTGGAGCTAAACATAAATTAGGTTCCTTATATTTTTTAATCGATTATGTATTGAATTGTTTCTTTGAATTGTTAGTTCTATTGAAGTTCTGTTTGTATGTGATACCATCATGTGTGAGAATTCATCTTTAACTCTCCTCTGCCTCCCACATTAGGGGAAGTGATTGGTGGCTACAGTATTTGAAGGGAACGCAAGGGAAAGGATGGAACAGACTAATACCTTTCTCAATATGCCATGTACACAGTAGCAGAAGACATCCAAGATCTCTTCTAGCTATGATTCTATGCTATGGACGCCATCATTGAGAGAGTGATTATAGAAGAAACAGGAGTAGCCAATGTTATGCTGCTATAATTTTTAATCAGCTCAAGGACTTGCAGATTATACTTTACTTCAGCAGTGGGGAAAGGCCCAAAGAGAAACCAGCAAATTATCCCAATGGCTGTAGGGACAGCTGAATGGCATATAGTTCTGATTCCCCAAGCCCCATACAGAACCCTAATTACCCTAAGAGTAATCCTGGCCCTGGGAAGCTCTTTTAAGGCAGTAGAGGGGTGCCAGGTATTTCAGAGCTACATGCATGTTATTTGGCTTTGTTTTAGGTGGTTGAGTTTGTTTTGTTGTGGTGGTTTTGGTTTCCACTCAGTAAATACTGAAATTTATTTATTGACAGCTATTTTTAGAAAAAGAAGAAAAAAAGATGTACGTTTTCTCCTTTTTTCCTGAGGCATAAATCCCAACCTATCCCATTCTTCTGCCAGGCAGAGGTTGATTTCTTAATTTCAAAACAATACTAGCAAAAGAGAAAAAGCCACTAAACAATATTTCTGTTGCCTAGGAATCCTTTTATGCAGAATGGAACCCATCCTACCTATCATTTTGCATAGGTTCTCTTCTTTCTTTTTGCAGGTGGGGCATTCTGTTTTTGTATGGGCTGTGGGAGGAGCCATTCTTGCAAACATCTTCACCAAAATCAGAGAGATGCCTTTCCTGTTACAAATGAAAAGTGTTTGAAACAGAGTCAAAACATCTGCTTTCCCCAGAAGGAAACACCATCAGGGAACCAGACTACTAAAAAGACAGGGAGGGAGAGAGACATAGAAGAAACCTTCCTTGTATTAAGCCAAGACTTATCTAAAATGGTTCAGAAGTGATGGTTCAGAACTGGTATTGCAGCACACTCCAAATCCTGGGAGAAACAGAGATAAAAGGTAAAGTAACTTTTTGTAGACAGCAATAGACAACCAGAGAGGCATGTTTTTTGAATAATGAAAAAATTGCTGGAGAAGCGGAAAGTTGGATGATTATTGACGTTTTCTTTGTAACTTCTGGAAAACCAATTGATATTTCTACAAGAGTGTTCATAAAGCAACAAAGAAGATGGATAAATTCCGAATGATATTCCAGTTCCTCCAGTCCAACCAGGAGTCATTTATGAATGGCATATGTGGCATTATGGCTCTCCTGAGTGCACAGATTTATGTAGCTTTTGATTTCAAGTGCCCATGTCTACCTAGTTACAATCTGGCCTATGGGATGGGTATCCTGTTTGTGCCTCCCTTAGTCTTGTTCCTGTTTGGTTTTGTGATGAATAACAATGTTTCCATGTTGGCTGAAGAGTGGAAAAGGCCCATAGGAAAACGACAGAAAGACCCAGCTGTCTTGCGTTACATGTTCTGCTCTATGGCTCAGCGGGCTATAATTGCTCCTGTAATTTGGATTTCAGTCACACTGTTGCATGGGGAATGTTTTATATGTGCCTTCAGTACCTCTGTTCCCATGCACAAACTTGGAAACAGCAGTTATAGACCTCTTCCTGAGAAGGAGATCAGGAAGATTTTAGCCCAAATTCCCTGCAATGATATTTACAATGGCCAAGAACTGATTGCCAGAGAAGTGGCAACCAGGTATCTACGCTGCATTTCACAGGTAAGCAAACAATAATGAATATAGAAATTGGTGCAAGTTAGCTCATGTAGAATAGCTTTTCCCAATCTGTGCCTTCATACTGTGTTGGCATTCAATTTCTATAAGATCAAACCAGATTACCCTTCCCCATTCCATATTTCATTTGCCATGCAAAAGAAGTTTAATATAATCCATGATTCTAGCTTATAATCAGAACAAGTATATTCTGTTGTTTGTTGTCAAT